TTTCCTCTTGGGATCTTGGGAATGCATACACATGCACTCAGCATGAGTTTTAAGCCACCGGGTTCAGGACTTGAACCACATGGGAGTCCAGCCATGTAACCATTATGCCATCTGCTGGCCCCAGAATAAATACATTTTTTCTTTTTTTGGAAAGGTATTTGCTATAGGGCACGTGCGCTCACCAGAAAGAGAGACAGAAAGGGAAAATTCATCCCCCAGGGGGATGGCCACGCTGCAATCGAGATCTTGGGCATGCACACACACGCGCCCGGTATGAGTTTAAGCCACCAGGTCCAGGACTCAAACCTCGGTCGACTACATGGGAGTCCAGCAACATAGCCATTATGCTGACTGCTGGTCCCAATAAAAACATTTTTAAAAAGAATAAATACATTCACTTAACCTTGGCAAAATTTATCATCTCACAATTTAGGATGATTATCAATTACTCATGAGTTACCCACAAATGGAAGGAAATAAAAGCATAGTAAGAAAAAATTAAAAAGTGGTATCTTATAGTTAATAATGCTGAGGTATTAATATTATCTAATACAGTCACATTGTCAGTATTTATTTTTAATAACTTCTTTCAAAGTAATTAATATGGAATTGTCAGATTTTTTCAATTTTTACATAAAACCAGGTTATGCTGGATTCATCATTGTCCGTGCATGGTCTGCTTTTGTTTACTTTTAAAATATAATGAACCTTATCAAAGCTACTCCCCCAACTGTCACATACACACACACACACACACACACACACACACACACCAGCCTAAGAAGCAGAACATCAGCAACAACTTCAATCCTCTGCACATCACTCCTGTCCGATTTTTGTGTGTCCCTCTCAGAGATCATCATGGAGCTAATGGTCTCCTCCCTCTTTCCTTTCTCCTTAAGTTTCATGCCTAAGTTATATTTACTAAGATTCATCCTTTTGTGCCCAGCAGATGGCATAATGATTATGCTGCTGGACTCCCATGCATTCAATCACAGTTTGAGTCCTGGACCTGGTGGCTTAAAACTCATGCCAGGTGTATGTGTGTGCATGCCCAAAATCCCAAAAAAGAGAATAGAGAAGGGACTGCAGCATGGCCATCCTCCCCAGGGGTGAGTTCTCATTTCTCAGTCTCTCAGGCAAGCGCACACAGCCTATAGCAAAAATCTCTCTGTAAAAAAAAAAAAAAAAAAAAAGATCCATCCTTATTGCTGTATGTAGATCTATCTCGTGCATTTTTGTGATTGTATGATATGTTATTGTGCAAGTATGCTATCATTTATTTATGCTTTATCAGTGAGTATTTGGATTGTTTCAATCTTTTGCAATTATAAGCAACACTGCTACGAATATTCTTCTACAAGCTTCCAGGTACATGTATGCTAAGCATGCCCCCTGTAGGAACACAAGCACTAGGTCCTAATGAACTTGGATGTCTAACTCTATAAGACAATATGGAATTGTTTTCCAAGGTGGTTAAACTAATTTCATACCAACAAGCAAGGTAAAAGGGAACCTTCTTGATCTATGTGTTCTCTAATACTTGGTATTTTTAAATTTCTTCAATGTCTGTTTAGAGTCTTAAATTGTTCCAGTTGAGTAGATGTAGTACAGTATCTCACGTGGTCTTGAGTAGGATTTCTCTGAATAGCTCTGAAATGAGGTTGACATCTCTTCATATGATTCTTAGCTTTATCTGATTTATTTTCTATAAAGTTCTTTTTCACAACTTTGCCCATCTTCTTATCCAGGGACATGGGATATATCTCTCTTTAGTTAGGCCTTCAATGTCCTTCAATAAAGTTTATTATATTCTCCTACAGGTCTTACTCATCTTTAAAAGATTCGGGTTTTTTGTTGTTGTTGTTGCTCTTATAAATGTAAATCTCTAAATTTGCACTAAATCCTTGCTTCTCGTGTGGAAAAACGCAATTGATTTCTGTTTATTAATGTCATCACCAGCTATGAATAAGGCACTGGACTCCCACATGACCAACCACAGTTCGAGTCACAGACCTGGCTGCTTGAAAATCATGCTGGCTATGTGTGCCCAAGACCTGGGGAAGATAAAGATAATGGAGGAGAAGGGATTGTGGCATGGCGATCCTCACAGGGAGATGACTTCTCACTTTCTCTCTCATTATCTCTGTCTCTCTCCAGCATGTGAACACACCCTATGGCAAAAACAAAATGAAAATAAAATAAAATAGAGTCATAACCAGCCACCCTGTTGAACTCTCAAAATTCTATTATTTCCAGTATTTATTTTAAGTCCCTTTTGTCATTCTCTGTAGAGAAACATGTCATTTGCAAAGAATGACATCTATTTTTTCCTTACCAATATTTCCACATATAATTTCTTTTGCATTTTACAGTGCTGGCCAAGACTTCTGAAGCAACAATGCATGGAAGTGACAAGGGTGGCCATCCTTGCTTTGTTCTCAGTTTTAAAGGAAAATGCTTAGAATACATCCCCAATTGGGATAAAATTTGTTTCAGATATTTTTGACATGCTTTATCATAAAAATTCCCTATTGCTAATTTACTCAGTTCTTCTTCTAAGTGAGTGCTAGATTTTATTAAAGTTTCTATAACAAGTTTCTATGAATATTGATCATAAGATGTATTGCTTTTAATCTGTTAATGTAGCTAATGACAGTTATAGATTTTCAGATATTAAATTAACCTTCCAGCCCTGAGAAAAAGCCAACTTGATCATAGTCTTTTTCTTTTTAATACAGTGTCAGATACAGCAGCTATTATTTTGTTTAGAATTTTTACATCTCTTGATATATCATGAATGAAATGAACCTATCATTTTTCTTTCTCTTACAATTCCTTGTTAGATATGAATATCAAAGTAGCCTCATTAGAATGAATTGAGAATATGTCTTCCATTTTTCTTAGAGACAGATTTTTGCTATAGGGCACATATACTCACCTAAGAGACAAAGAGAGATAGACAGACAGAAAACAAGAAATCACGCCCCAGGGGAACAGCCATACCACAATCCCTTCTCCTCCATTCTCCTCTTGGTATCTTCGGCATACACATACATGCACCAGGCGTGAGTTTTAAGCCACCAGGTCTGGGACTCGAACCACAGTCCACTATGTGATAGCCCAACCACATAACCATTACACTATCTGCTGGTCCCATGTCTTCCATTTTTATTACTGAAGGAATTTGTTCATTACTAGAAAATCTACTCTTAAAAATATTGGATCTGGCATTTTTGGTAGAAAATTTTTTAGTTCATTTTATTACTTAATTAACTTATTTTTAAAATTTCCTACAGGGCATGTACACTTGCTAGAAATACAGAGATTACAGAGATGGGAGTGGAGCCGGGCGGGGAGTGGGTGGGTGGAAGGATAGAGTTTTCCATATCTCACTCCAGACTGACTTGTCACCCTCCTCATTTAGGGTACCCGCAATGCTGAATCCCTTTTGGCTGTAGGAGTTGAGGGGCAACTGACTTCTATTGTAGACCGGTGTTTTTTATGCTTTAACATGCACTCAGATCATCTGTGGGCATTGTGAAAATGCAGATTCCGACTTTATAGGTCTGGAGTAAAGGCTGACAATTTCCAGGCTCCAAGAAGTTCGCTGCCGCTGGTCTTCTGCATGGCCTGAGATGAGATGGCTTCTGAGCTGTCAGGTTTTGCCTCTGCAAATTCAGTATACAGGGTGGTCAAGCACGACCTGATGGGTCTATAGAAGAAGCTGCTAATGGGAACACTTCTGGTTTGTCATTACAACATTTCATTTTAATCATTTTCTGATTTCCCTACTATGCTATAATCAGAGCTAGCTCATTTCAAGAGGACCATATAAATGTCCATTGATTGCTCATTTTCACACGGAAGTTCTAAAGGGGCTGGTGCTATGTCTTAATCTTTCCATCCTATGTGAATAAAGGGTTTTCTACAAACTATGTCAAGAAATGGCTCCTGTTCTCCCCATATCTCAGCTTTCTCACAATCACAGCATGTACTAGCTGCTGCCATGCCACATCCCTGGAATGAGGCACCCAGGGGCAATTAATTCACTCCCCATTCTGCCCCGAAAAAATCCCCAGGTGGGTAGAGAGATGCGTACTGAGAAAGAGAAGGCACTGCCTCCCAAAGAACATCAGTCTCTGGTGTAAAAAGACAAGCTCATTAAAATCACGGATCCCCAATTAACCCCTGAGGCTCTCAAAGTTGGAGCAAGCTGACTTTAAAGTAGTGTTCTGTTTGCATGGAAGCCTGATTTATGCAACAATAGTATGTTCCTGAAGTTGGTCGCAAATCAAAGTCTTTTTTTTTAATGAAAGCATTAAATACAAGAGGACTTCAAAAAGTTCATGGAAAATGAAACAAAATATGAATTTATTTTGATTAAAAAAAAGAAATCCATGTGTAGTTTTTTTTTCATAATATACATTTCCATGTACTTTTCAAAGACCCTCCCCCCCCATCCCATAACACTAGAAAGGCTTGCTATTTAAAGGGAACTCTTATCAATTCATTTATAAAATAAATAAACATAAATTTTCCATTTGACTGTGTTTGGATTTCCAAATACTGAATTTATATAAAATAGGCTACAAGTTGAAGTAAATCTGATGAAAGGAGCTAATTAAAACAGAATTTCTTCTCTGGTTCTAGAATCAAGAATAAGCTTACATTTCTGGGAAGAATGACTATCTTACTTAGTTTTCATGGGTAAGGTGCTCTTGGCAAGCTTTAGCTTGCAGTTCTATTCCTTGGTACACGAAATATCTTTCTTCATTGTGTAAATATCAATTCTTAAACATTTAAATGAGTCATACTGCTCTAATAAATTGCTTATCGGGTACTACTAGGTTGTTGGGAAAGTCATGACATATTTTTCTGTTTTTCTATGAAAAAAATGTGTCACAACTTTCCTGATGACTCAAGTATTTCATGTAATCTTGTTTGGTCTTTAATGGACCTATTAGCCAAAGTTTCCCCCTTACTCAGTCAAAGGATACTGTCCAAAATTAGTTTAGTGAGAGCATGGTATGCCGACAAATCACACATTTCAGAAATTTGGTTGTGGGAAAAATCCACCTTCTGGAGAGAAAAAGAGAACAGTAAGTTATATTTTACTTTTCATTTGTATTTACTACAGTAATTAATTGCACAAGAAGAAGATCTTTCTGGATATAGAGGCAGAATTCATCACTTGTAGTCCACCTAAGGCTAAAACATTCATCTGACTTTAATCATTTTCTAACCAGGATTCTTCTCTGTCCACCTTGACGGATACAACGAAGGACACTCCTTCATGGACCACTGGGACGTCCCACAACTGAAATGCTTGAAATTCTGATAAATTAGAGGAATGGAAAGCATTTGCAGCATTTACTTTAAACCTTTTCAGGTCTTTTTTCAGGCTTTACCTCAATCTTATTCTTACTTCCCACCATTTATTTCATTTTCTCTAATGCCCAATAAAATGTATTCATTTAGTTTATATGCGTATCTTGTTTCCCTTTTCCATTCCTATCTCGAGCTATTCTCCCATGTCATCCCCTAAATGCCAGAAAAGTCTTGCTTATTCATCCCTCAGGCCATCACATCTTCAACATTATATCCTTTCTTAAAACTATTTTAGGAAAGCATTTTCAGCAACATCTGTTGTAGCTAGTCAAAAGATATGAGACTAAAAATCAACATTAAATAATTACTTACCTACTGGCAAAAGGTAAAGAAAATTAACTTTTTAAAAAGGGAAAGAAAAAAATCTCAAGTTTTTTTCTGAAACATTGCATTGGTAACTTGTTGGGCATATTTTAATTATTTTGGATAGTTTGGAAAACTATCAACCAATTATATAATTTTTAGTATCATGCTTATCTTTTTTTTTTTTTTTTCCCTTTAAGATAGTGATTCTACTCCAAAAATTTACTAAAATGATTTTTGGCAACATGCTAAATACTAAATATATTAAGTACCAAAATTTCATATACTGAATAATTTTTTAAAAAATCAGAAACAATTCCAAGTGGCAAGAGTAGAAAACTGGCTAAATCAATGACAAAACACCAATAGGACTATACTTGGATAGTCAGTAAAATGCGTGTTTGAAAAACAAGTGATTAGAAATGTGCAAATAAAATAGTGTTAAGTAAAACAACCACAACTCTAAATGAATACATATACAAATAGCAACTATGTAAAATTCATACTATGAAACATCAGTTTGGCATGACCTACATGGAGTTTAACATTCATTTCTTTTCTTCTAATGATGATGGGCTAGAAGTAAATTCATTGTTATTTGGGCTTTTTCCATCAACACCTGTCACTCTTGGGCCACAGCATGACATCTATGTAGCTATGCCTCTATTGGGGCTCCATGACAACACCATGTCCTCTATGTGCCTATGATACCAGGTTCATCAAGAGACCCTACAAAGGGTATGGTATTGCTTTGACTCCCACTGGAACCCAGAGTTTACAGTAAGTCTCTGCCAAATTAAATGACCATTTTCAACTACAAGAGCAAAAGCAGCCTAGAAATACAAAAAGAGTACAGTACAAGCTCCTGCTCCCCAGGAAATGCACACGCTCTTCAGTTGACAGTATGAGGCTTCTAGATACTAAATGAAAAGGAAGTAGGGATCCTCAAGAAAGTGGGACCTACCACACAGTCTGACTTACTGGAAAGAAAGATAGGGGCTTTGTGGTCAGATGTTGGATTCTCTTTAGTTCTGCTATCTTCCAGCAAATCCTAAATTCCTTAAGCATTCTGTGCTTCAGTGTCCTCATTTGTAAGATGAGACGGCAGCAGATGCCTTACAGTCTTAGTGAGAGAATTAGATAAGATCATGCATTGAAAATACTAGAAGGTCTCAATTATTCCTTCCCAGTTCCATACAGAGTACATATGTGGGTTGAAACACCCCTGGGGCAGTCTGGCACTTGGCAAGCTCTTCTCTAAAGTTACCAATGTATTTATTCTTAACTCTCTGGGAACTCAAGACCTTAAAGATGGGGTATATACTCTCTGCTGCTGTTCATTTGTAGGGTCTCTTTGGGAGGAAGCAAGGCGGAAATGTGAATGGAAGAAACTCCCCAGAAGTTTTTCCTGGGGTAGTAGTCACACCGTCACCATGGCGGATGCCCCCCAGGTCATAGAGCAAGGCAAATGGGACAGATAGCACAGAAAACTGAAACAGCTCTGCAAAAACAATTTCTGGAAACCTCAAGAACATGCACCCCCACACTAAAGGCAAATAGGTTCCTGCATGGCTTGTTTGGATGAAGGCATGTCACCCTGGCAATAACTATAATTTCAAAGGAAAGAAACACTATGGATAAAAAACTATGGATAAAAATGGAGTGATGGGACCAGCAGATGACATAGTGGTTAAGCCACTGTACACTCCCACATGGCCAACCATGGTTCAAGTCCTGAACCTGGTGGGTTGCTTTCTCACTTTCTCTCTCTCTCTCTGTCTCTTTGGTGAAATTAAATGAATGAATAAATAAACTTAAATAAAGTCATTCTTTCCAAAACATGGAGTGATATGAGACAACAGAAAAAAAAATAAGGTGTCTCACTATCAGTCTGGGGAAAGGCAGACTCATCATTTCAAACACTGTCATAGCTGTGGAAACCTCAGGAGAATACTTTAGATCAAAGTTAACTTGGTTTGTAAATAAAATTAGTAGATAATAAAACATAACATTTACTGTCTATTCCTTAATATAACTTTTTTTTTAAGAGAGATTTTTACTATAGGGTGCATGTACTTGCCGGAGAGATAGAAGGAGACAGAGAGACAGATAGTGAGAAATATCCTCCTGGGGGGATGACCATGCTGCAATCGCTTCTCCTCCATGCTCCTCTTGGGGTTTGGGGCACACACACACACATATCTGGCATGAGCTTAAGCCACTGGGCTCAGGACTTGAACTGGTCAACTATGTAGGAGTCCAGTGACATAACCATTATGCCATCAGCTGGTCCCAAAATAACTTTTTAAAAATAAGTGAGTCGGGTACCAGCAGTTAGCGTAATGGCTGTGTCGCTGGACTCCCACGTAGTTGACCGCGGTTTGCGTCCCGGACCCGGTGGCTTAAAACTCACGCCAGGCGCGTGTGCATGCGTGCCCAAGATCCCCAGAGGAGAATGGAGGAGAAGGGATTGCAGCGTGACCATCCCCCCTGGGGGGTGATTTCTCGCTTTCTGTCTCTCTGTCTCTCTCTGTCTGTCTGGCGAGCACACGTGCCCTATAGCAATAAACCTCTCCCCCCCCCAAAAAAAAATAAGTGAGTCCATAAAAGAACACTAATCACAAGCTCTGTGACAATGGTTTCCAAAATAGTCAACACATTAGAGCTGCCTGGGGGATCTTTAAAAAGTCCTAAGTTCAGGCCTTACCTTGGACCACTTGAGTCAAAATCTCTGGCTGAGAGGTCCAGGCAGGTCCAGGTCCAGGTGATCTCAACGTGCAAAAACCATGGGGAGCCCTACTCTGACCTCTGCGATGGTTCATGGACCAGCAGCAATGACACCCCCTAAAATCTTCTTCTAAATTACAGACTCAGGCCCAAGTCTAGACCTAAGAGGGCAGACTCATTTTCACAAGAGCCCCAGGTGATCTGGGCACACATTAAAGCAGGAGACACAACGCTCTACAGCACAGCAAACTGTCCCATAAACCACTGTTCACAGAGAGTTTACAGCTGCTTTGAAACTGCAGACGCAAATCCAGAGATGCAAGAATGCAGGTCTGAGAGCAATGGTTTCTAAATGACAATCAATCACGTTGGATAAAGAAGAAGGCAAAGTTTGATCACTGAGGAATGTTTTCCAGATATTTCGGATATAAAATTTTTCAGATAGAATTGTTCTGTTATAACCAAAAAGAAAGCAATAATAACTACTATTTAAATGAGGAAAAGAGAACAGAAGGAAGTTAGTTCTTTGGTTTGAACATGAGGTTTTAGTAAAACTTCTTTGAAAGTCTATCTGTTGATAGACCATCTCCCTTTCCAAATTATTCTCCTTTTTTATTTCATTTCAGACATAAAATTTATCTGTACATTTTATACTCTCTAAATTCTCTATTTTAGTTCTGTCTTGCTTACATTTTACGAACTACATAACATATGCGATTAGTATATTGATAAACTCTACCTTGAGATTCTTAGGTGGCTTGAAATTGAAGAATGTAGTCAGTTTATTTTGAGAAGCATTGAGTTCTAGAAGATAAGGCATATAACTCACACAAGACAAATCTAGAGGAAAAATAAGTATAGAATAAGATAAGCCAATAAGGTACTAGACAAAGTCATTAAGAACAGTATATGTGACATCAAAATATTTTTGTGAGGGCCAATTGCAAGCACATCTTATTCAAAATGAAATGAATAAAATCAGAAGTATGTGAAATACACACACAAACACACAGGTGGAAACTCTGAACCAATCATTTAATGTTCATCTTCAAGGCCTGCCCACATCATCCATCCCTGTTTTCAGGGCACTCAAATAACCGATGGCTGAGGTCTCTTCCAAGTCCCATCTTACTCTCCCAACATCTGCTAACACTCAAATGATTCATAAATTGTCAGCCTGGGAGGAAAGGATGAAAAACTAAAGCCTTAGATAATCCTCTTGATAATTAGCCCCTAAATAATGGAATTAAGTCTTTTCAAAAAAGACTGGAGATGTCATAATTAGAGAGTTCTCTTTGTCATAAATTAAATTTTGTTTCAGTTAGACTTAATCCTAAATCTCACTAATTATTTGAAGTGATTTTGATCATTGTCATTATTTTACTTTGACTCTGGATTGGTTCAAAAGTACATCTGAATTTTGCATTTTATTCCAACCAAATATTCTGATCTTTGAATACTAAGTACAAAACTTATCATACTAATAAAGGATACTCCTAAGACCAGCCTATGGCATAATGGTTACCTCAATAGACTCCCACATAGTCGACTACAGTTTGAGTGCCAGATCTGGCGGTTTCAAACTCAGGCCAGGCGGGTGTGCATGCATGCCCCAAATCTTGAGAGGAATATGGAGGAAAAGGGATTGCAGCATGGCCATCCCCCCCCCCAGGGGGGGGTGATTTCTCACTTTCTGCCTCTCTGTCTCTCCGGCAAGTACACATACCCTATAGCAAAAATCTCTCTCTCTCAAAAAAAGGATATTCCTAATGAAATTACATAGAAGATGTGGAAATCTTAAAGTATGTGTTGCCTTTCTCTGCCTTTACAAAAAAAAAAAAAAAAAAAAAAAAACAACACACACACACACACTTACAAGGTGGCAGAATGAATTAAAGAAGGACCTGCCCTGTCTCTACAGCAATTCATTTCTCCACCTGAAAACAGTAACAATAATGGCATCCCCCTTTCCTCATTGGAGATCACAGATCAAGCTATTACCCCCTCAAAAGATAGCCTCTCCTGGGAGAATAAAGCCTTCACACTTGAAGCCAGAGTGCTGCTGCCTCCACCAGGGGGCACTGCCACAGATCAGGAGAAAGGAGCCACCCCGGGCAGCATGGGCTCTCTGGAGCAGGTGGCTGGACAGCAGGAGGGGGCTCCAGGCATCTTTTCTTCTCAAGTGTCACTGAAGCCAGAAAACCCCCATCTAGCTCTACCGCCCTCATTTTTCTAGACTAATTTTTACCTTTCTTTAAGAAATAGAAATAGTTCTAGGAAAGAGTACTTTGAGACATTAATTCTTTGGTGGAAATTAAGGAACAAATTAAAGAAGACCGCCTGTGAGAGGAACCCTAAGGGGACACTGGAGCTGCTTTACAATTTGTATCTCTGTCCACTCTGAGCTCAGCTACTCATCTGTCAGTAGTGGTCTCAATTCTATTAACTTTACTGGTGCCCCTGGGTCCCCCCTTGGAGCTAATCTTTCGATGGGCAGGTAAACACTGGTACCATAGAGATCTGTCTTAAAGCAGAAGCAGCTAATACTCAGACCGAGACGAAGACAGGTGAATATATTTCATACTTAGTAGATAGAAAAATATCCCTGATCTGAGTTGCCAGACTTCTAACTCCAGCCGGCCATCAGCCGGCCATGAAGTCCCTACCCAGTGTAGTGACCTCCTTGTCCACCAGATGGCAGGAGCTCCTTGTGTCTACACCTCTGCTTCTCATAACCTGGTCTTGGACCAGCAGCCATCAGCATCACCAGGGAACTTCCTCAGGAGGCAAATTCTTAGGCACCACCCCAGATCTACTGGACTGGAAACTGAGGGTGAGTCCAACTATCTGTGTTTTAAAAGCCGCAGCCCCAGTGTATGTTGAGAAACATTACTTACTTACTCAGTAAAAAGGCTGACTGAGTCATCAATAAGACTACCATCACAAAAAGAAAGCTATACCGTACCTTCCCACACGGTAGGCTCTCAAACATTTAATGAATTGATGAAACGAGCAACCCAAGATTAACAAAGAGTGTTGTGGTGGAAGAGGAAAGTTTCAGTCACGAATGTGGACTCTGCTCAAGTGGCAAGGGTATAAAACCAAGTCTCTCGTACTTAACATTAAGCATCTTTAAAGCCTAAATGCTACAGTTCCTTACTCAGTAGATGAGAGCCACTTTGGGGGTGTGAAATGAGTGGGACACTCCAGCAAGGAACACTAAAACGTCTTTTTGATAATATGATATCTGGGATTGGCTTTAAAAGAACCCTGGGCAAGGGCGGAGGAATGGGGTGATGGGGCAGAGTGGGAAGATAGAGCTGAAACAAGACTGGTGTGGATTAATAACTGCTGACCTTGAACATTCATTCTAATATTCTATTTGTTTTCATATTTGTAACTTCCTATAATAAAGTTTTTAAAACTAGAAAACAACAGCATCTCAAAAACAGCAACATTTTAAGAATTAAAATGAGCTAGAATACTTCTTAGCCATTGAAGAGTGAATTTTCATGATTGAAGTCATACATATGGCAGGGGAAAAAATCAGAAAATTAAACAAGACTACATTTGTAGTTTTTAAAAAGTCAGGCAAAAGAAGCAAGGAGGAAGATTATTGGTGGAGAAAGTGAGTCAGAAATAATGATTTGCTTACTTCCTTAAAAGTTTCCAGAAAGAAATATACACCGTTAACTTTAAATACAATTTTAAAAAACTAGAAACAAGCTTTAAAGAAAGTGTGATAATTGCAGGATTAACATCATTAAATGTGAACATGTCATAACAAATATATAGAACTACAAATGGTAAAATTGAAAGAATCAGCTAAACATATCGAAACAGCAAAAAACGGGGGAAATACATTTGTGAAGCCCTGACGCTAAAATAAGAAACAGCAGCTAGCAAGAATTCAAATATAAAAGCAAAGGCAAAATAAAGAAATTAATCTGCTAAAGGGGAGTAAAACACCTAATTCATCTGAATAACTTCTTCTTTTTCTTGGCAGATGCACTCATCGGAGAGACAGAGAAAGTGGGAAATCACCCCCAAGGGGGGATGGCCACTTCACAGTCCCTTCTCCTCCATTCTTGGCTCAAGATCTAGGGCACACACGCACATGCACCCAGCATGAATTTTAAGTTGCTAGGTCTGAGACTCAAACCACGGTCAACTATGTGGGAGTCCAGTGATGTAACCATTACACCATCTGCTGGTCCCTTGCACTGAATAACTTCTAAAAGGGTAAAAAAGGTATCATCAAATATTAGGAAGTATGTTTGAAGAAATAATGACTGATTTCTTAAAAGATAAAAATAAAGCAAACATTTCATCTCATATTCTTTTTTTTTTTTCCTTTTGCTATAGGGCACATGCACTCACCAGAGAGAGACAGAGAGAGAGGGAAAGTAAGAAATCACCCCTCAAGGTGGGGGTGGCCATGCTGGAATCACTTCTCTTCTTATTATCCTCTTAGGATTTTGAGCACACACACACATGTGCCCAGCATGATTTTCAAGCTGCCTGATCTGGGACTCAAACCATGGAGTCAGCTACATGGGATCCAGCACCTTAACCACCATGCCACCTGCTGATCCTTTTATCTTATACTCTTAAATATCACTGACTGTGTTGCAATCATATCATAATACTGCAGACCTGTACTTTTTTTTTTTTTTTTACTCATCAGTCACTGGTGCCTTTTTTGCATGGAAAGCAAAAGACCAATATATAAATTAATCCACAAATTACTAATATCAGGTTTGTCAGTATTAAACTATATTGCATACTGAAATATTTACTCTTTAAAAATATTCAGTGTTCAGTCTACTAGGATGGCAACTACATACCTTCAATTTTATTTATCGAAAGATCCAATTTCTGTAGGTGAACATATTCGCAGAGAATGCTAATGTCAATTAAATCACGACCCTGAAAAAATAAAAGGTAAAAATCTTCAATATTGCCTTCACAGGTTCGTACTTGGCCTTTTTGCAACATTAGAGATAATAGTTGATGAAAAGAAATCCAGAATTTCTTTCAAAAGTGTAGAAGAAGAGAGAGAACAAAATCTGAAGCCTACTCCAGGATCTCAAACAGACTACAGACCCCATCAAAAGAATGCACTCCTCTGAAGAAAATAATAGCTTAGGAAATTAGTGTTGTTAGCAAGAACGAATACAACATGAAAAGGCAAATTAAAGCAGTGTTTATGAAGACCTTTCGAGTTTTATATTTAAAAGAAAAAAACACACATAATAGCAATAAAGACAAAGCCTTTATCTAGTAGAAGAACAGAAAAAGCAAATGCCTAGAATTTAAATGAAGTTTTAAAGAGAGTTCACACCTAGTCAGGAGATCATGAACAACAATACTAACTACACTTTCAAAGGGTTCACTTCAAAGCTCTCTGAAGAGAATCATAACTGCTCAAAGCCATGAAATCTGTTGAGCAGATTATTCTCAGTTTACAGATGAGGACTATGAGGTCCATATAAGTATGTGAATAGCCCCAAGTCACATAGCAAGTGATATGGTGTGAATGTTGCCCATATACTCACAGGTGGAAATTTTATTGTGATGGGATTAAGAGGATAAAAACTTAATCTAGTTATGGTCCTAGAAGGTGGGACCTTTGGACAAGTATTAGAAATAGGTCATCAGGACAGGCCCCATGATTGACTCCTGGTGGATTCATAAGAAAAAATGAGGCCAGGGACCAGCAGAAGGTCCAGTGTATGTCCAGGATTCCCACATGGTCAACCGCGGCTCATGTCCTGGACTGGTGACTTGAAACTCACACTGGGCACATGTGTGTGCATGCCCAAGATCCTGGGAAAAGAAAGGAGGAGAAGGTATTGCAACATGGCCACTTCCTCCCCTCTCCACCCCCACCCCCCCAGGGGTGATTTCTTGCTTTCATTCTCACTGTCTCTGTCTCTTTCTCACTCCAGGGAGTGCATGCACCCAAAGGCAAAACAAAACTTTAAAAAAAAAAAAAAAAAGGAAGAGGCCAGAACGAGACACAGATCACAATCTCCGGCCCTCCACCACATAATAATGCAGACAAAAGACCTTCATCAAATACATCAAATGCATGTGCTCTAAACCACAAGTAGAATAAACTGTCCCCACAAATCTCAGTTTCAGGTATTTTCTCTTTTTATTGAGAGGGAGAGTTTTACTTTTAGAGCACATGTGCTCACCAGAGAGACAGAAAAAGTGAAATCACCCCCCCCCCCATGGGGGATGGCCACACTACAATCCCTTCTCCTCTCAGGATTTTGGGCACATAAGCACACACGCCTAACTTGAGTTTCAAGCCACTGGATCCAGGACTCAAATCAAACCACAATCAGCCATGTGGGAATCCAGCGCCTGAACCACTATACCACCTGGCCCCCAGATATAGTCTACTGGCAACAGAATGGACTAGAACAGCAAGTTAGTAAGAAGTAAACTGCAAGGCTTCTGAAACATTGTCGAAAATTCTATCCATGAAATCTTCCCTCTAGTGAGCGTCAAGTGGAGGAACGTGGTCCCAAGAAACAAAGATTGATATTACCAGTTTATGTTGCAATGTCAGAGTCAGAAAAAACAACCACCACCACCAAAGCAGAGTCTCATTATAAGCTGGTTCTCATATAGAACAATGAAGGCTGTTTCATGAAGGCTGCTGGACCGCAATGAATTCTGAATACCTACGATGTACAAGGTACTGTTCGTGGATGATGAGAAAAAACAACGATGGAACAGAGTTCACGTACCCTCAAGAAACTTATGACTTTGGAGGACAGAAGGTATGTACACAAATAATAAGAAAAAGGACAAAATAATGTGTGACACAGGTAAGATCTAAGGGGGAAAATGTCGCTAAACCATGCATCCCTAAGAAAGTGTATTCAGTAAGACAGGTTATTAAGGCAAAGTAATTCAACATGTAATATCTCAACTGTAAGGAGGTCAGTGGCAAAATAAGTTAAGCTTCAGTCCATCTAGCTGAAATAAGATTTAAAAGATTGCTTTTTGGGGGTAGATCAATTTAAGGCCCAGCACTGGGTACATAAGCAGAATATTGATTGAAAGGGCCTTGTGTGGGGATATATTGGCAGCTGCAACTAGACACCATTCCAATGCTAACACAGTGCAGTGTCGACAGGGTGCACCCTCTATGTTATTGCCTTACTGGTGAGCCATCCATAAAACGTTATAAAGTGCAAATAGTAAAGGATTACAGCTTTAATATGCTGACCTCAGGGACATGCTATGGAACCAGTATAGGTGAAAACAGCTCACCGTTCTTGATAGTTTACTAATTCGAATTCAAGACAGAACAGTCTTGCAGCGAATTATATATACTTAGCCAAATCATGATGCTATAGTGAAATTTCAGTATGCTTTTTTCAACTATGTATCTACATTTATTCTGGAAATCTCCAAGGAATATTTAATGCTTTACAAAAGAAGGAAGCAAAAAGAATTGCATTATTTTTTTTTAGGACGATAGAGAAATGAAGAAAGAGGCTGAGGTGCCCTGAATAGTTTGCTCTTAGAGCTTTTCTTATGATAAAATCAGAGCGAAGATTTTGGGTTACTCTATGAGTGGTATTGAAATCTTGAAAATTGATGAAGAAGGATAGATTTTTTTTTTCCTTTAATGATAGGTATCTTTTAGAAAGAAAATATAGCTCAAGGCTACTTATTCCTTGACATCCTTTGGGAGGAAAAGTCAATATCAAACTACTTTGTCCTCTTGAATTCAGATATAAATTTTAGTGCTTTTCCACTGATCGGAGAAAAAATTCTTAAAGAGGTTTTGATTGGTTTAACAGAATCAAACCCAACCTTCTGGAAAGAAAGCATTGATTAGTATACTACACACTACATCAGATGAAAGAAATAAAGTGTGAAGAGAATAAAAACAAAGGAATTGGGGAGAGGGGCTGATTGTTGGATTGGCCAGGGTTCTTTGAAGTCTAATATTTATAATAAATATCTATCATCCGTCTCTATCAAATGCAAAGCTCTGAGACCCCAAAAGTTATGAGTACCAAAGAAAATGGGTATGGTCCAACCAGGGTCAAGAGGTAGCCAGTCAAGATGGTCATGGCATACTCACTGATAAAGTTAGATTGAGATAGACCTGCTCAGTTCCAGAGCCTGAGCGCCCCAATTGATGGAGTGCCTCAGCCACAATCTCCTCTCTCAGGATCCCATCAAATTCCTCCTGTAAAAAAAAAAAAAAAAAAAAAAACAAAAAAATGCCCCACATTAGAAAAAAAAAAATTCAC